GCCACGCCTCCGCGGGGCGGGGCCGAGCTCGGCTCCGGGGAGCGGGTCATGAGTTCACCTTGAGCTTCTGCAGTCAGCTCTGCACTCAGGAGCAATTACTTGTTAAAGACTGTCCAAAAAGCCACCTGGTGAACTGAACCGCCTTCGTCCCACACCCTCAAAACAAAGCCAAATATCGCAGTTTCCACCGCCTTTAGAGTTCAAGTTTGAGCAAAAGGGAGCTAGGTTTTTCCTACCCAGGACAGCAGGGAGTTTTTACAAACTTGACAAACTGTGTGTATAAAAAAACCCTGAAACTTAGCAAGTTAACTTTTAACTTAAAAGTTAAAAACTTTTTTTTGATGACTAATAACTGGTAAATTGTGAAAGAGTCTTTCACGTCAGACATTCAAACCCAAGTCCTCTGTTGATAGAGACCTTGGATAAATTATTCTCGGGGGTAACAGTTTCCATAACTCACGGCTAAGTTCACATTCAGGGCCATTGTGGAGGTTAGGTGAGTAAGAGCAGCGAACTGCGTCACAAACCATGAACGATAAAAGCCTCATCTTGAGCATTCCTGATAAGGGACTGAAGGACAGACGCGAGCGTTGCAAACAAGCTGGACATAGTGAAAGATTACTTGAATATTCAAGCTGGGGTTGGAGACATAGCTAAGAGGTTAAGAATACTTGCTCTCACAGAAAACCTGGGTTCAGTTCCCAGTAACCACGGAGCAGCTCACAACTGTAACTCTAGTTCCAGGAGATCCAAAACCCTCTTCTAGCCACCTCTGGCACCAGGCATACACAGGGTGCAAATACATATATTTAGGAGGAGAAGGAGTATTACTCGACGGATTGAAGATTTGGCTCAGCAGTTGAGAGCACTTTCTGCACTTGTAGAGGACCTCAGTTCGCTTCCCAGTACCCACGGTACCTGGTTCTCAACTGCCTATAACTCAGAATTCCATAGGAATCCACCGCCCTTCTCTGGCCTCCTCGGGCACCCACATATGTAAATATTTTTTTAAAAAACATTTTTTGATGTTGCCCTTTTTAAAAAGATTTTATTTATTTATTCAGTTCACAGTGTTCTGCCAGAAGAGGGCACCACATCTCGTTACAGATGGTTGTGAACCACCATGTGGTTGCTGGGGATTGAACTCAGGACCTCTGGAAGAACAGCCAGTACTCTTAACCTCTGAGCCATCTCTCCAGCCCATAATTTTTTTTAATCCGTTTGAACATATCTCTGCAAGCATTTATCATCCTCATGATGTGAACTGTAAAACTGCATCTAGCTTTTGGAAATGTAAAGTGGTTATTATCTCGCTGTAGGCGCAGCAGACCTGACTTAAACATCCCAGCACGCGTACTTAGGGGCACGTGTGTGCATATACACATACATAAAAACATTACATGAAATCCCATTAGTCCTTAAGGTTTGTATGTTTGTTAAAATTATAAAGAGCAGAAATTTGGGGTTTGAGGAAATGGCTCAGCAGTCAAGAATGACTGCTGCTCTTACAGTGGACCTGAGTTTGGTTGCTAGCATCCACACTGGGTAACTCCCAACAGACTCTAAGTTCTAAGGGATCAGGCACCCTCTTCTGGCCTCTGTAGCCATGTGTATACAGAGAGAGAGAGAGAGAGAGAGAGAGAGAGAGAGAGAGATTTTAAAAATTAAAAAAATAAAAACAGAAATCTATTTCTATTTTCTCACAGGTTTGGGCACTGGGTAGTCAAAAATCAAGATGGCAGCAGGTTTGATGTGCAGTGAGAACCCAGTCTCTAGCACACCATCATCACTGGACCCTTACCAAAACTCCTTTCGGAGATCCTGTTGTTGGGTCTTGAGGATCCTATTGATATTATTTCACAGGACCATTCCCTACATGTATATTGCATATCATATCTCCCAGGGCAAGTGAAGGTCAAGACTGTCTCAAAACAGCTCTTAGATTTCATAGAACGCAGGGTTCCTATGGCCCGTGTGGTCATGAACATCAACATAGACCCCAGGGGCAACAGGACTACTGACCCAGACATGGCCCCAACACCCTCCTGGCTCTTTCAAATCCATGGTTTCTTTTTTATTGTCGTTAACATGCATGCATGTATGTTCATGTATATATATTCCTAAATATAATTTGCTCGGTATGAATAATGTTACTCATATGTATGCCATGAACACTTAATATTAGACAATCAATTGGTGTGCTCTTTCCTGGAAAAGTCTTTCTCCCACTCCCAGAATTCCTTAATTGCTTTACCCTATCCACGTTACTATGTCTATCATTGCTGCCTTTGTTCAGCTCATGTTTAGGCAGTCGTGTTGGTGAGACTGCATAGATGTAGTTTCTGACATCAGTAGGAGACACATTCTCACAGTAAACTCCCTGCTCCTCTGGCTCTTAGAATCTTCCTATCCCCTCTTCCACGATGCTCACTAAGTCTTAGGTGGGGGAGGGTTTCATAGATGCATCTCTTGGGACTGGGATCCACAGCTCTGCATGTTGATGTGTTGTGGTTTTCTATACTAGTCTCCACTTGGTGCAAAGAGAAGTCTTCTTGATGAGAGGTGAGGATTACCCTTATCTATGTGTGTAATGACAAATGTTTAGTGTGTGGTTAGGAACTACCAAGGTATGCAGGCCATGGCTTTACCCTTAGGGTTATGCTGCCATGCTGATTGTTTTTGTGGCTCATAGGCATCATAGCTAGGCAGGACTGATGGTTGCTTTCCTCTGGAAGCTGACACAGCACCTTGAAAGTTGGTCCTTAGAGAAGAGTTGTTCAGGTCTGTTCCAGCTTAGGGACCGGTATGCCCTATGTCTGAACTACATGGGACTTAATTTCCACCTCTTGGTATAGGGTAGATGTTTGGGACAACTCTGACAGCCCTGACCAACAACTCAAAAGAGGGCTTCTCATGCCTGATATTTTTAGGAGATCTTTGGCTCTTGGAGGGAGAAGTGTCAGAACAGAGGGAAAAAATCATTTAAACTATATGTGTATATTTATACACAGAATAGTATTCCTTGGGACTTTTTTTGGCTTTTTTTTTTCAAGACAGGGTTTCTCAGTAGCTTTGGAGCCTGTCCTGGAACTAGCTCTGTAGACCAGACTGGCCTCAAACCAGATACCTTTACTGTTCTTTTTACCCCCTTTTATACGTATCTCCCCCTCTATCATTAGAGCCCTCTTTATCTCATTTCCCCAATCACTTGTCCCCTACTTCTTTTTCTACTCCCACCCACCTCATCAGCAATGGTTCCTTTTTCCCTTTCCTGGTTTCTGCAATTACTCTAGGATATATACTCACATAGTTCTTTTTTTTAAAAAAAAAAAAAGTAACACAAAACATGCAACAAGTGGACTTTTAAGTTTCACATTCCTATGAAGTATTGCTGCCTTGGTGTATCTAGTCCCTATTGTTGCTATAATAAATTACTGGTTTCTAGTTATGTAGCCAGATTCATTGAGTTGCGATGTTTCACAGGCCAGAAACCCTAACCAAGGCTCAAGATTAAAGTCAAGGTACTAACAGGAACCCACTCCTTTCCAGGCGGGGAAAGACAGAATGCTTCTTTTCTAGAACCCCTTACCTGTGGAGTCCTCAGGTGGCATCTCCCAAACCCTTCTTCTTTCATCCTCTTCCTTTTCTATTTTTAAAGATTCCAGCGATTAGTTTGGGTACAGTTTGATAATCCAAAGTTGTTGTCCATCTCAAGATCTTGCTGAGAATTATATTCACAAAGTCCCTTCTTCCATGTTCAATCCCATTTTCACAGGTTCCGAGGGTTAGGAAGGGCTACCACTCTGCCTGCGATCAGCTTGAACTATCAAGCTCAGCATTAACACTAAACATTGGGAACTCCCTTTCCACCATCTTCTTCTCTGAGCTGCGTTTGACCGTTATACACTAATTAAAGTTCCCAAACTGCCCTCAGCATAGAAAAATAATAATGTGCATTATGCCAACCTGGGGTTCCGAGAAGGGCATGTCCAAAGACTCTATGATCATAAGAAATTTCTTACTGGTAAAAGACAAATATATTGAGTAAGCGCTCATAAGTAAATATATTACCCAATAGGTACACACACACACACACACACACACACACACACACACACACACACACTATAAAGTAGATACCAAAATCATTGCAATTTTATTAGTAAATCAATTAACATACAATGTATATTAAATAAAGTTTTGGGTGTGTCTAGATGAAATGACATTAGATGTTCTTGGTATAGTTGTTTTTAATTCCATGCAATCATAGCAGATGCAGTATATATTTCACATATAAAATGAATTGATTTGGTTTTACACTTGAAAGGATAGTAAAACAGAATTTACACTTTTCCATTTCTGTTTATTTTAAAGAAATGTTTCTGTTTGCTATGGGGATGTTTGAAAGAAAGAAAAGGGAGGGATGGAGGAAGGGAGGGACAAAGAATTAATATTAAAAGGAATATCCCCTTGTCCTGTTGTTCATCTTGTCGCTTATCATTTTATTCTAGGATAGGTGGATTTTTTTGCTTTTAGAGTTTATGAATATGTGCTGATTTATTGAAGGTTATTAAAATGTAGAGAAGATCAGAGAA